CAGTATGATTGGTGTATTTGTCACATCAGTAAAAATATAGCTGTATGGAAACTTATCAAGTATATGACTTTCATAATGGTTGGTTGGCTGAAAATATAAATCAACATTACATCAGTTTAGATACCTTTAATATGCTTCATTATAAAGATTAGCTGAAGATATGATCTGAGATTTCAATAAGCTTGACTATATTTCATTCAAATTAATTTAATGATAGATATACATTGTTGTAAAATACCTAAACCAACACTCATCATAAAATATTTTCTCTATTTAACAATAGTAAAAAAAAATATTTCTTAAATATTACAACTCCCCTCTAATTACCCCTGTTATGATTATCTATGATAGCAAACAGAGTTTTTTTGGCCTTATACACATAATCAACTTAAAAATTAATTGTCCAGTGAATCACATCAAACAGTATAGGGTTATTAGCAAATTCGTTGTTGAAATTGCCGATCTGTGATAGGTGTGAAAATTGCCTCCTGAAGTGCACTTTGGATTTTTTCACCAGTTATACTTACTGAGGAGAACATTGAACACAAAATTGTTTGAAAACTGGCCACTTAGATACACTCCTACCAAGGTTGGGCTTGAGGTACTGGTTGACTTGGTACATGGATACTTATACATGTAACACCAGATCCAGATGCACAAAAGTTTTGTAAGTTGTAAGTCATGATCAATTCTAATATGTTTATCAAGGAAAATTCTAATATGCTTACCAAAGAAATGATTTCCAAGAGATCAATGGCTGAACTAGCTGCATCATTGACTGACTGTTATCAGATCTTTAAAAAAAGGCTTGCAGGATGTTTAGAGGAAGAAGTTATTTGGTTGGCTGCCTGGCTGTTTGGTGAGTTGGCAGAGCTAGTTGCCTGATTTGACTGGGTTGGTTGGCTAGTGGCTCAAGTGCCCAACTGATTCGATGGGTAATGTGTAGTGTATCTGTCATCTATAAAATATAACAATTCTACTAAAACATTTTCTGACTGACATATATTATCTTCACAGTTTGTGTAGTAAACTATTTCATTTACATATTTAATCAGCATTGAGTAACTTCACATCAGGTGGCATATGTCTCAAATGTAGTTTGATAAATAGCTAACAGAGGACAACACCTTAGCTAGAAAACATCAAAACATTTATCTTTCATCCTGATAAGTGCAGTTATCCATTTAGCCTATAGTTACTAGAGACATTCCATATTGTCCAGTATATTTGTTCTGATGAGTGCAGTATGTACAGAGGGTGTCATATAAAGTAATAGACTTGTCTACAGCTAAAATAGGCCTAATATTGGCCCCAGAACAATGATTAGCTGAGAATTATGACTAACCATCATCAAGACAGGAAAGGTTGAACTTAACAGTAGTCTAGTTGACTTGGGTAGTTGACCGGCCTGGTTGATTGGTATAGTTGACTTGAGCAGTTGACTGGTTTGGTTAAATTGGGCTGGTTAGCTGGACTGGTTGACTTGGACTGGTTAACTGGAGAACTAGCTGTTTGGACTGTGTAACTTGGGCTGGCTAACTGGACTAGTTGACTGGGATGGGGGAGTGTACTGGTTGACTTGGCTGACTGACTGGACTGGTTGACTTGGACTGGCTGACTGGACTGGCAGACTTGGGTTGGCTGACTCAACTAGTGGACCAACTGCTCAGCTAGTTTGTCATGTATCTGTTTCCTGTAACATAGGAAAAATAAAACAGTTCTACACAGAACATCTTGGGCTGTTTTCTTGGTTACGCTTACATATAAAAATAAATATCACAACTTTAAACTATCAGGTGGAGGTAGGTACTGATTCCTAAACAACCTCTATAGTTTTCATATATGTGCATTACATAATTTGCAGAATGAAGGTGCTCCTAATTACATTTTATTACAAAGTGGTGACTATTGGTCTATCTATTAGTTCTGAACATCATACATAATGCTGCCAAAATTTATACTGTCAGAGTTTACATACGTTNAGTTCTGAACATCATACATAATGCTGCCATAATTTATACTGTCAGAGTTTACATACGTTACCTGTTCAAAATTATCTGCTGTACAGGTAGAGATTTTAAAGTACAGAACTTGATATATGTGTTTTCCAACCCAACGAAGCAGCATTGACACCAACAAACTTCAAATATATCCATTGTCTACATTGATATAATTACAATAACATTTCCCATTCAAATTGTTTTACAATCACTTACATAATGTTACAATAATATTATTTTATGTTAAACAAGAGGCCCAGGGGCCTTAGTAGCTCACCTGGTATTTTATTTTTCAATTTAAAACCTGCTGAGTACCATTCAGGTTTGTCAAAGGAGTACAAGAAACAAAGTTGCAAGAAGGACTACATATAAATCAGTTTTGGTGGGAAAGACAACAAGAAAATGAGTTTCCATGTTATGTCCCAGTTTTCCTCAATTTCCCCTATCTGGGCCTCACATGCACCTTTTTATACAAGTTAAAACAAAATTGAGTTGTTTTCCCCTAAGCATGCTTCAGACCATATTTGGTTTAAACCCCATGTTATTTATAAATAAATATTTGGTTAGTTAAAAATCCCTTCAACAGTACAGAAGGAGAAGGATCATTAATGTTTTCCTCTATTTCCCCTAATGGGCCTCACTCATCTGCCCCAAAGAAGGGGGTCCACACACCTCAGTTTAAACAAAATTGATTCTTTTGTCCCTAAGCATGCTTCAGACTGCATTTGGTTTAAATCCCTTCCCTTGTATAGTAGGAGACAAAAAAATCCTCTATTTCCCCTATTCAGCCCCGCCCCTATGCTCCCAGAGGGGCCACACCCTCTGTTTATACAATCTTCAGGCTCCTTTGTCCAAAGATACTCTAGAACAAATTTGGTCAAAATCCTTCTATTGATTGAAAAGAAGAAGATTTTTAAAGATTTACCTATTTCCCCCCTATTTTGCCTCGCCCCTCTGCCCCAAGGGGGACCATACCCTCCGTTTATACAAAACTGAGAACCCTTTGGCCAATGATGCTCCAGACCGAATTTGGTCAAAATCCTCCGAGCCGTTCAGCATTTTAAAGGAAAAAGTTGACAGACGACGGTCGCCGGACGACGGCCGCTGCGGCATGGGATAAGCTCACTTGGCCCTTCGGGCCAGGTAAGCTAAAAANGCAAAAGTGTATTGAACAGTTAAGTGTGAAAAAATGTCATCTTTTATCCAGTTATTAAATTGACAAACTTCAGAAGGAGACAGAGTGACTCAAGTAGACTTGTTGGCTCAGTTGTCTGTGCGGACACAAGTCAGCTGGTCTGCTGCATCGGGACTGTTGGCAGGTCTTACAGGTCGGGTGGTATGAAGGGTTAGATGGTCTTATGTGTTAATACATGCCTCGTATGAGCGGTTCCTCAGCATGTAATACTGGTTAGGTCAGCATGCTGTGATAAATGGCAGGGTGGTTTGGATACACAGGTGGGATTGCCTGATCAACAAAAATAATATCCTGTTTTACCTTTATATAACAGCTAAGAATACNGCTGTGATAAATGGCAGGGTGGTTTGGATACACAGGTGGGATTGCCTGATCAACAAAAATAATATCCTGTTTTACCTTTATATAACAGCTAAGAATACTTTAGTTATAGCATTAATCATACACTTACTTGTACTAAGTTGATATCGATAAATTATATGAATACAATGATATTCACAGATTTAATGACAATTTTGGACATGTAGGTAATATGCAATCAATGTCTTTATTCATACAATGACACAATCCTTTTACTGTCAACATGGAAATTACTATATTCAGATTAATTCCATGAACTCACCTAAATATCCCCAAATTTAAGATCACCATTATGTAAGTCTGGCTGTAGATTATGCACCATGGTTTTTGCTGTTTTCCTTTGTATTTTACATCGTACACGGCCCCAACTAGAGATGTATTACACACAACAAAGTAAAGGTGCGTTCGATTACACACACTAGTACAGTATAGGAGGGCTCGATAAGGACAATACCATTACACCATATTCCTCATCTTTTCCTGTAACATATTCCAGCACATAGCCTTCTAACCATTCGTCTTTATTCAAGTCACCTAGTGAAAAATAGAAAGTGAAATGACACAACTCAATTCAAACAGGTGTTTTTAACGGAAAATTAATAACATTGTTTTTATCATCCCTTCATCTGTCATAGAAACATGAATGTACAACCCTTAAAATATAAAATCCATGGTAAAAGTATTTGGACCACCAATCTGAGAAGTAAGTTTGAAAGACTACAAGCATTTTTACTGATGTTACTTATAAGCAATTACTGTTGCGACAGTTTCCTCAACAAAAACAACTTCCTTGAGAACATGGTCCAGTAAGAGACATTCAAAATACCGTAACACCAATGTAGTGAAAAACAGAATATACACTATTGTTTCTTTATATTAGCTATTTAAGGGCTGGAATATTTCAGTCGTTGACTCAGCATATGTTGTAATACATTTATAGAGACTTTGAAATGAACAGTGGCTGGCGCGGCCAGATGCAAACTTTGCAAAAATTGATTGTTAGAATTCAAAGCTAACCACAGGGTTTTGTTTTGATCAGCATCAACTGTTTCAACTGGTTGAACCAGAACAGAAAGCACCGGTACAGACTGGGGCTAACCTCTGGGTATGGCACATGTAAATCATGGGGTCAATATGTTTATCATGTTTATTTCTGTGTCATGAAAACAGTCCAGTAAACATTTAACAGAAATTTTATAACTGTGTACCTGTTCTATCATTGTTGCATCTTTAACTTGACACCTTCTTGATGTGGGAACCTTTGAGCTGGAAGTCCACTTTTTTCACCTGAAAATAGTTTAAAAAATTATATATTGCATCAATTTCTCCACTGCTTTGTAAGATATATTTATAAATAGTTTCAAAAACATGCCAAATTGTTGAGTAACAACTTAATGTTTTTTGAAACATAAATTTCAGAAGAACATTTTGCACAAGTTACAAAATGTAAAATTTAAATGTGATATTTAAACATTAGGATTCAGTCAGTTCCTCAATTTCATATCAATTACACTAGCTTGTACATACTTTACTTGCTACTTTATTTACTAAACAACAGTGCGTGATTTGCTTGTTTCAATTGTCTGAATGAGAGCGTCCTATGTGAAGGCATATTTTGGTTCTAGAATCAATTCACAAAAAGTTAATGTATATAAATATTTAACAGATTAAATGACAAATAAGTTAATTGTCTATAAAACACTTTGCGAATGAATACTATTTAGTAACCGCTCGACCAATCCACTTATGTTTACCTGATCCTGTTGCCTTAGACACTGTAGTATTTGTCATCTTTCTTGTTGCCAGTTCTCATAGGTTTCTTAACTCATGAATTTCGGTAACCACAGAAGGTCACTTGGGGTACACACTGAAAACAAAATTATATACATACACATGTAGTGATGTACATTACTTCAAAATGCCTTCCAGTTGCTAAATTAAACTTTAAAAGACTTTTTCTCTTTCCCAAGACTAATTTGAAGTGCTACACGTGTATGAGTCTCCATACAGTCACGCACGGTCTTTTATACTCGAGTTACATTTTCGGGGGCTACTGACAGGGGGTAAACAATACATAACACATGCTATTTTTTGGGAATAAATTAATTAAAATGGTAATGTATCAAATAATGATACAAACATAGATGGAAGGAAATGTGTCAAAAATTAAAATGATTTTATTTTGCAAATACTTGTTGTCCATACAGCGAGAAAATTTTCGGACCCCAAACAAATGCGTGTAACCACGTGAGAAAATGCAGATCTGACACGTTCAACACGGGGCAAACACTTCATAAAAAGTGTTATCGGAGCGATAAGAAACTGACGATCTGCGATCGACTAGCTCAGTGATAATTAATGCAGCATATATTGCATAATATTAAAGGATCTCGAACGTAATAGTAATATTTATGTGTAAATCATACTTACTTGCAAACGGACTGTCCTTGGTTAGCTTACCGGATGTGCCCAACAACACCTGTACTCCGCTTCCGAAGAACTATATGTGTTCCAGTTTTATGATTTTTGAACATTTAAGTTCAAGATTACATATTTTTATGATACATCTGTTGTTGCATAACATGTTATATTGTCATTTTGAGACAACGATATCAGTTTTATCGATGTTTCGCAAAGATTTTCGGATTCGCGTATTTATATCACAGAATGTAAAAAGTCCATCATGGCGAGATGTAAACAACATTGTGAATTAAGTCTGTGAAATCCCTGTTTTTTCTACTGAATCTGCATGTGATCAGTGTTTTCTTCATTAGCAGTCATTGGTAACGACATCTATTTAACCAAAACTTATCATGTGACCGATTGTCAAGACCAGATTATTTTTTATACAAGGTATGAAGACACGCAGTTTCGCTTTCTTTCAAAAGTCTCAAAACCTGGTGAAATTTGTCACCCCCACGTGTGTTCAGAAAGGATTTTTGACGATAAAGAATAGAATTTCGGAAATATCTCGATAGGTTTCCATTCCTTATATGTGCGAGAAATAAATTATCTATATTTAGTAATATTTTATCGTGTAATAAAAGCTAAACCGATGCAACCCTAAACTATTACAAAAACACTCGTTTTTTTCTTAAAAAACATTTGTTGAGAAAAAACATGATTTTGTTAATTGTTTGTTCATCAATGAAACCATTGGGCACAAAAAAAAATGCGTCACATGACTCACTGTTCTTGTATTTTACCACTGAAAAAATTGCCAGTTTTCACCAATGGTCACTGTATCTCCCCCTTAATAAAGCTTTAGACCTTTCGTAGTAGTGTTCGTGTATGGATCACAATTACACTACGGATTGTTTGGGCTGTTTTCTCGACTTTTCCTAGTAATGTTAGAAAAGTTGTCGATTATTAAATAGTTTCTATGATGTTATCAATTTTGCGGATTATTTAAGGCGACGATATAGAGTTTTGGGTTAATTAAAAGACATTATCGAGTTTGGGGTTAATTTAGACGACGCTGTCAAGTTTTCTGGTTAGTTTACACAACAACACCGTTAGTACACATCTATATTAATGTCTGAAGAAATAAACTACGCTTCCGGTTCCTTTCCCAAGTCCATATATAAATGTAACCAGAAACTTGCTATATCGTTCAAGCCCATACTGTAACTAATACTAAAGAACAGAAATTTATTATGTTCCTCAAGTTCATAATTTACTTGTAAAATAACGAACCAGGAAATCTCTGCATACTTTAACTCTATTAATATATCGAGGCAAAGTATTATCAAAAACAGCAGTATTTTTACCACAATTTCCGAAAATCTGTAAAAAGCCATAAAGATCAAGGCTTTTAATATCGTTTGTGTTATTATCTAATGGTCGAAAACAAATGAATACAGACAAGTACAAGCTCCGCTTACCACTCATTTGCTTGGCTTAGTCATTTCCATGAGAATGGTAAGGAAATTGCTGCGGGATTTGTCTGCATGATTGGAAACTGCTTAGGGAGTTTATTTGCAGAGATGTATTATTTTTGAGACTATAATATGGCTGGTTTGCTTAAAGTGAAATAGTAGAGGGATATTAATTTGTTATATATAGAAGGGGTGACAGTGTTATATAGGCTCAGCATATAAACCAGTTTAATAAACGGACCCATAATAAACAACAACACGCATGCGCGAACAGCTAAATATTCTCCTACTATGTGGCCAATTCACGTAGCAGAATAAACCACACATACAAATATTGCAGTTAAAATATTTCGTTCCCAAATCACGCCTTTTTTAAATTAAAAGAATATTCATACCTCAGTTGCGAAATGTGTATATTTGTATCAGTTTTAATACGCTGGTGATACATTTATATCATAAAAAGATCAAATTCTTAATTTGATATTTATCTAATTAGGAAAGAGTTTTTGATTTAGTTTGAAATTGCATTGATTAAGCTTATGAACTAGATACTTGGCTCGTCTTATCAAAATTCATTAAAGTAATGATACGTCAAATCGAAATTTCTATTTATTCATTTTACAATAATTATGTTTAAGAAGCTATCGGCAATTTCACATTTCCTTTATGTATCAGCTAATTAAACTGACTACAAGTGATGCTTGTTGTTTTAGATATATGGAAACTGTAGTAAGACTCTGTAGGAGGTGCATTCTAATCTCCTTAGTCTGCATACCTTACAACAAAGTATGTCAATTGACAGCTTTTATCATATCCCATTTACCCCCTGGCTAACACCGTGCAATATGGAGCAGAGTACGTAATACACAGTCTGATAACACATTTAACAGCTGAGTAACAACGTCATAACCTCATCACGCGATTGAGCACGACTAGCCCTCTGATAAAAAAATCATTTTAATTCAGGATCTAAACCATAAGATGCCAATTACATTTTTTCCAGTTACATTATGATAACAAATATGAATGGTAGGTTAGATACACGAAAGGTACCTTCCATAAAATTCAATTTTATTGCGCGTGCAATATAAACACAAATTTCCCAACAGTGTTAGTGATATGAACGCCAGATGTTCCGAGTATGTGGTATATGTGTCAGGAGTGCAGCAGTAATACTTATAACACGATGTACAGATATAAACCAGCTCATAGTCAGCCTGATCACAGTTAATCGGCGAGAAACATTCGGTAGATTGGGGAGATAGTTTTATACTTAGTCCGCATGAACAATGATAATCTGTGAGAAAAATCGGTAGGTTTGAGGAGATAGTTTTATTCTTAGTCCGCATGAACAATGATAATCTGTGAGAAAGAATCGGTAGGTTTGAGGAGAAAGTTTTATACTTAGTCCGCATGAACAATGATAACCTGTGAGAAAGAATCGTTAGGTTTGGGGAGATAGTTTTATACTTAGTCCGCATGAACAATGATAATCTGTGAGAAAGAATCGGTAGGTTTGAGGAGATAGTTTTATACTTAGTCCGCATGAACAATGATAATTTGTGGGAAAGAATCGGTAGGTTTGGGGAGATAGTTTTATGCTTAGTCCGCATGAACAATGATGATACGTGTTAAATAATCGGTAAATTCGGGGATGTAAGTTTATATTTAGTTGGCCTGATCACTAAATACCAGTGAGAAACAATAATGCAGTAGGTTGGGGGAGGATTTTTATGATTTTTTCCACACGACTTTGACATTTATAACAGTTGTTTTTACATGATAGAACAAAGGCCCCATATCAATAATGATCTAGTGATGTTCTAGTTTATCTTTTATTATAAAGGATTAACAAGCACGACGTATAAAACCTGTCACGATACCATTATGTCATTAAGGTGTATCGTAGAGTAGGTGAGAGGTACCACTGCACTGGTGACGGTGCCATAGAAACAGATAAGTATCCTTCATTCTTAATCTGATCTCTTATCTTAAAACAAATAAACAATGTCGGCTCCTGTCGGCCACTCTCTGATTCGCTACACGTAAGTCGTCCAGTTCTTACACTTACTCTCTTAGCAACCGCTACATCAGAACCACCGATTCTCTGTCCCCTTACCTAGTTATTTGTCTCTCCAGTTTTATACAAAGATATCGCTCCTTCAAAACAGAAAATCAGGAAAGCAAACGTCACGGCATCACTGGTCAGAAGAACAACACCAGATGAGGAATTAACCACGGTACAAGAGTCGAGTAGAAATCCTTCTATCTTCATGTAGAAACAAGTGATCGGATTCACAGAAACGAGATACAATGACTGCTGCCGTCGGTTACTTTGTTTAACTAGTTGTGTATGTAAATAAATATTTTATGTTGGAACAACAGAGATCAAAGGTCAAAAATAAGCTCGGAATTAAAATAAATAAAATAAATAACATGTTCGTTATCCTGAGTAGATGGTTTGAATTATATAAATATCGTTAAACAAATTTAGAGTTCTTGGCTTACGCTTTTCATAATCTTTTGTTTAATGCATCACTTGATACAGTTTAACAATTAGTTGTTTTTTTTATTACATCCAACGGTAAAATAAAATAATTGATAGGCTTTTATTGTAGGAAATCAGGAATTTGCTGAAAAAAGGGTTGACAGGGACGCGTCCATTACGAAGTGCGATGAGTTTGTAGAACGGAGCAACAGCAGTGGCTAACCTATCAAGTTATATCTCCGACAAACCGTCAAACCTAAACAGATTGAATAATTATAAACAAAGCAGCAAATCTGTTATTAAATGTCGTCATCTCCTTCAAGACGGAGTAGACAAGTGATGGGAAATACTCCGCGTCCGTCTGAAGTGACACTTATTGTGAGGATGCTTGAGGTTTGCAGTCCTTCATAATGGTACTTGTTATTTCTTGCTTAACGTTCAGCATTTCGAGTAATCGCAAAAACTATGACCAAATGGAATACTGTGATGGGTGCCTTCGTCATGGTATTTCAACGAGGTATCGTTCTAAAGTGGGCATCAGATCCACGCTATCGCACGGAGGCAAATACACCAACACACATACTCGGAAGCACGCATACATAACACACATAGAGGCACGTCTTTAATTGATCATAGCTGTTAATAGGACGTTGGCAAAATTGTAACCAAGCCAAACCTTTACATTACATGGACAGTTGCACCGTAGCAAATGCCGTTTATGGAGTTGTGTTGTACCCATTTTAGCCTCATGAATTTTAGAAATCCTACGTCCAATAAATAGTTTATAAATTCCACCAATTTCAGAAAAATCACAAAAAAATACATTGAATGAAAAAAAGAGAAAGAACTTCAAAAATAAATAAATAATGTTATCTATTGAAGATCACGTGTGTGCTTTTGAGGATATTCGAAACGTTCTCTTTTAACGTGCAAAGTATTTCAAATCTAATTCTCCGGTTTTTCTCGATATCTTTTATATTTCTCCATTGAAATATCACCAAACCTCGTTTTACAGATTCCAAAATTTCAATGCACTATGTTGGCAATACAAACATGTGCTCATGTAAAGCTAATTTGGATTGGATGAAAACTAAGATGCAATAACTAGCAGGTTTAATTGCATACTGAACCGTTCTTAAATGTTAGCATCTATTTTTGATGAAATAAACATCCGCAAGCGCATATATGCTCGGTCAGAATCAGATTAGCTTGACAATCAGAAACAATAGTGTAAACCTGTTTACGTAATTAACAGTTGCATCAAACATCTGCGTTCTGTTATAAACGTTTTTTTATAGACAGACAAAAATACCCATAGACAAATCATCATTGTTATGATCTGTCTGGTGTGGAGGGATTACTGTTTTTTGCGGGTTCATCATTATATCACTCAACAAATGTTTTTATCCTTCATGCTACTTTACATATTAGATCTCGTCAAGATTAATCTATCGTCATAATTCATTTGGTTTAAGAAAATCAGATAGCGATTTTTTTTCGGATAATTACGTATACATACGAAATATACGGATTGAACCGTATGATGTTTTAAACTTTGCCTCTTACTGATGAAAATATGCGTTGTTATACATGAATGATTGTGCACAATTTGTCATCAAATCTTGTGTACCTATTTACGTATCATCAATGCTTGTGTACATTTAAATTTGTCATCACACTTTGTGAACCTTTAAACGTACAGTGTTGTATCATCAATTCTTGTATACGTCACATTAAATATTGTGTACATTTATATTTGTCATCAAATTTTGTGAACCTTTAAACGTACAAAGTTGTATCATCAATTCTTGTATACCTTTTAACGTCACATTAAATATTGTGTACATTTTAACGGGTTGTCAATCCTTGTAAACATTTTTACATGTCATGAACCTTTGAACGTGTCATTAACTCTTCTGTACCTGTTAAAAAGTCATCAATGTTTGTGTACCTTTCCAAGTGTTATAGATCGACTAACCTAATCCAAACTATCTTTGATTAAGGTTATTTTATATTTTATTTTTATTTAAAAAAAACTCTTTTAACAACAACAACAATTACAACAACACATTTGATGAATTAGTGAAACGCTATCTAAATGTGTGCCTGAGCAGAAGTATATGAATATGTGTGTCAAGGTATCTAATACATTCACGTTATGGTTTTATCATCAATACTTCCGAATCATCTCCTTGGCAACACCTCTCAATGGCCGCATATCCCTTCCACGGTTCGTTAACATCATACATACACTGTTAGTAACAACATATTTAGCTCACAAACTACAACGACCCAACGGAGCCAGGCATTGTTAGCTTTATCGTTCATTAAGCAAATTATTGAATCATTGCTATTTTCTTAAGCGTGTAAATAAAAGCTTTTATCTGCAAGTCCTCATGTCTATAACAATCACTATGAGGAAAACATAAAAAAACATTACTCTTCAAAATTTCGGTTAGAAAAACACATTTTATTAATTTAAACTGATGAAGTTGACGATACTGACAAACCTAGATTTAGGATGATTGCAGGAATCAACTGATTAGGCTGGGCGGGCGATTATAGAGGGCGCCCTGGGTGCATTACCCTTCTAAGTACAGATAACCCTATCTAAACACATGATGCGTCAATCATCATTGGGAATCCGTAAACGATCACCGACACGTTTCGCCTCATCTGATGATAATATTAATTTCCGTTCACCAACAGAAGGCTAATGATAGATGCTGATGTTTTGAAAAACCCGTTTTTTGGGGTTTTTCGCCGTGTAAGTGAAGAACATTTGTCTCGGAAGCCGTATACATGTTTTGTTTTTCCCGGGGTTTGTTTATGTGTAGTTTGGTTACGTTTTTGTCGTGAAAATATCTGAGAATTGAATGCCTACCTAGTGACACACTATTCATTAAAATCATGCAGATGTGATCATGAAAATCCATGATGATACAAGAGGTCCAAAACGCAAAAGACTCGTGAATTACAACAGTGACAAGTCAAAAACGTAAACGTTATAATTCTGTCGTCCCGTGACGACCGAAAGTCATATAAAACAAGAACTTATTGTAATGGGGACCATTAGAGAAATCCCCCAAACTGGCCCCATAGTTGCAACTGTTGAAAAAATGTCTTGCAAAATTAGGCACTCACCCTAATGCTCGTGTGTAGTTTAATTGTAATTCAACGTATATAGTCTCTGAGAAATCACTAGGACACGATTTTAAGTCGGAAGACGAAGAAGGAAAATGAAGAAGAACAAGAAGAAGAAGAAACGGAGTAAAAATAATAAGCCCCCAACTTTGTCTGGGGGACTTGATTATCACCAACATGTGTGTGTATTATGCCGCGGCTGTCCCATCTTAAAAGGGAAAGTGTTGCTGGCATTCTCCATGATGGAGTGTCGCCACGTCATGTCGTACGATAATTCGGTTGTAATGCGAAGACAAAGAACCTATTGCTATATCGTCGAGTTGGATCGACGTCCGACAGTCCACAAAACGGCAGGCCCAGTCAACGACCGCTCGGGAGAACCACCGTATACGGCTGTTGAATTCGCGTAATCGCAGTATTTCTGTGACACAAAGACATTGCTTGATCTTCGTGTACCTGTCAACACCATCTGATACCGCTTTAAACTTAGCCCGGCGACTTTACTAAGGGGCTATTGAAACACAACATCACCGTAACTGTACTCGTTCAAACCGTCGTTGGGTGTTATGCTGACAAAACAATGTTATTTAAGGACAATACATCGCTTGTCACGAGGTGAGTAAGGCGTAGTCTGAAGACGTTGGGTGAACGCTTTTCGAACTGCTGTGCGTTGGACGTCGTTAGAGACCGTCAGCTGCCGCAACGCTGTTTTCGGCACAACCGTTGAGTATACGAGGTACTTCCTCCGTCACTTAAGGTTATTAGACTAACCCCGCGTTAGAATAGAATCAATTCATCAAGGCAATTCATCTTGGTTCGTGACAAATATGTTTACTAACCCTTCGATGGAAAAACTGAAACCAAGTTGAATACCATTGCAAAAAAAAAAAGGATTATCTCCACTACTAATGTGTTTTTTTTTTGTTTTTTGTTTGCCGAGTAAACTTTTCCCCGGAGGTCGTAAACGTATAGTATATTTGTCACAGAATTCGTATACGTGTAGCTCACTTGTCACAGGTAGACTGTTTCGAAAGTCGTATACGTGAGTTTGTTTGTCCCGGAAGTCGTATACGTGAGTTTGTTTGTTCCGGAAGTCATATACGTGAGTGTGTTTGTACTTGAAGTCGTATACGTGAGTTTGTTTGTCCCGGAAATCGTATACGTGAGTTTGTTTGTTCCCGAAGTCATACGTGAGTGTGTTTGTTCTGGAAGTCGTATACGTGAATTATTTCGTCCTGGAAGTCGAATACGTTTAGTTTATTCGTTACTGAATTTTTATACGTGCAGTTTATCTGTCCGAAAGTTGTATATACTTTTCGTATGGATTACTTTCCAAGTTGTTCCTGAAGTCGTGTACAAGTTAAATGTTTAGCCAAGAAGTCACAAAGGTGTAACATGTTAATTTCGTCATGGGCATTTGTGACGTCATTTTATTTATATTTATGGAAAAAGTAGAGGACAATATTTCATATAGGTTTCTAAACTGTTTAGTTAATTTTTACGCTATTGTGATTGTTTTAAATTATTCTTTTAACTGACTTTGTTAAGGGAAGTACGTAACACACGACAATTACATTTGTACAGATCCTATAATTCTACTACCCTTCCGGTACATCTTGTATCGTCACCGGGTTTTAATACGGGATCATGGAACTTAATTACTGACTACTCACTGACGAAACACAGCAATGGTCGTCCACAGTAATATCTAAATAAGTGTCAGACCGAATACTTTCAAATTTAGTTCTCTGTTTTATCAGCAAAGCGGCGTGATATACGTCGTAACAATTTTCGTTCCTGTGTTTTTGCACGGTTATTCCATGTTAATGTTTGATAATTGTTGTCTTCAGACTAAATATTGCCGATACCCAAGTTTGTTTCCATTCTTAAAACCATTAGATTAAACATACGCGATGTAAAAGTAATGTTATCGAGTTTAAGTTCTAATTTTGTCCAGTAAATTACGAGGAAGCAAGAGAGTTCTAAAAGTACTGTGTACTGACCAAGCTACAATGATGAAATCACTAGCAAAGCTTGATAATAATTGCGTCAAATCATTTTTGAAAATAAAGCAATCAAATATTATTTCCTCTTTGTTATGTATACTTGTATATTTATGATTCGTCAATATACTATGGACATGTAAACAAAACAACAACAGGTGGATGGTTGGTCAGTTTATTGTTGTATAAACGTATACTTCACATTTCAGTGAACAATTACAGCGCAGATTGTATAATTATAACTTCGCATAATTACGAATTATATTGTATGAAGAAAAGTGATGGAATCTGTGATACATTTGTTTTGGTGAATAACTCTAAAACTGCTTTTTTTTCTGTTCGGATTTTAATTTGAAGAAAGAAAAAAAGAAAGTTGCAGGTAAAGGAATAACAGATAAATACCAAGTTATTGCTATTAAGTTATTGCATCTCGTTCTGCTGAGGTTTGCTGGGTATAAAAACCATTGGGTCCCGAGATAACAATTATGGCAATTTTATGGTTAGATAAATCCCCGACTCCATCGTAGGTATTATGAAGTTGAAGTTTAGAAAAATGCAAGTAGTAATATATCATCTGCATGTTTATTTCTGAAATCTAAGTTTACTTATTTTCAAATTGCTGTGAAAATATCATATCTGTGAACTGTTTCAGTTCGTACATATATATATATATAAACAACAGTCTGGAGAGTCACCTTTGCGAGATGAAAGTACTAAAGACTCGATGTTGATATTTTAATATTATTATTATTTTTTCGTCTGTAAGGATCATTTAGCTGCTTTTATAATATTGGTATATATATAAGAGACGTAATAATCATGAATATAAATGATGGCAAGTAAAAAATGTCAAATATATCTACGTAACAAAACTACGGACGTACATAGACACTGATTGTATAACTCCGTTATAATACTAGCAGATATTGAGATGGAACGTAATCACAGTTGATGTAGGTAGAACCAGCTAGTGTTGGCATGGACCATTACACACACTGTACATTTAGAAACTTTTCTTTCATAACCAAATAAAAAACATATTATCGTTTAGCTCAGTGGAATTTGACTAGGCTCATATTTTCTGATTCATTTTAAAATCGTATTGGAAGGGTTCTATGACATGGGGGAAATAACTAACCAAGTTCCATCTCCACGAGAACAATATCCCATAGCTTAAATTAAAATAAATATTATAAGCTGATATTACTTTGAACAACGATTTTCTCACCGGGATAACACATTCCATCATAAAACACCCATGCATGTTTGTATATACTAGATATACATATCTTCATCATTATCAGATATTACAAAAGTCCCCTAGTACATATAACAACAGGTCCCTAGTACATATTACAAAAAGTCCCTAGTACATATTACAACAAGTTCCTAGTACATATTACAACAAGTCACTAGTACATATTACAACAAGTCCCTAGTCTATATTACAACACGTCACTAGTTCATATTACAACAAGCCCCTAGTCTATATTACAACACGTCACTAGTCTATATTACAACAAGTCCCTAGTACATATTACAACAAGTCCCTAGTCTATATTACAACAAGTCCCTAGTACATATTACATTACTCTGAACACGTTATACAAAGTTAGTAGACATCGTGTTATAATGAGAGTTCCTGCGATATCAAACCTAACACCGCTATTGGCTTATTTGTATAATGTCAGTTTATCCACCCTGTGACAAATCATGCTTTGTCCAAAAACACTTGTATGTTTTATATATACATATGTTTTTACATTATCTACTGGTTTAAATTAAATTCGTTGTCTCCTTTGGTGCATTGCCTTTTTTCGTTTTGAATGTCTGCAGTTCTTTATAGCGATCTCCTTCGCTGCTGTTCCAGATTCCGTAGCCAAAATACATGACAAACCCTTGATGAAAATATACATATCATTAATCAACACTAAAATGAACAGCTGACCACTTATTATTATACGTAAATATCTTTCAGAAAACATTGTTTAACTGCAATAGTTAATTTTTATTTTTTTTTAAAGTTTGCAATGTTTTATGTAATCAAAACAATACACATTTTATCTAAAGTAATATACAACTTTACAAACTGATCACAGTAATGTAGCTGAATAAGGCATAATACACCTGGTAATAATTGAATAAAGCAAATTGAGGTGGCTCTTACATTATAAAGCTAGAAAGTACCTGGTTCTTAACTAGTAAAAACAGGATGTTCCTTGTCCTTACCAAACAAAGGTTCTGGTTCTTTCCTAAAAAGCATGAAGTTTCTTGTTCTTACCTTCTCAAGATTGAAGTTTCTCGTGCTTTTCTTATGAAGTTTGAAGTGGCTCGTTCTTACCTTAATGAGCTTGGAAGTTCCTTGTTCTCACCTAATCAAGTTTGTAGTGAAGTGAAGCACCTGGTTCTAACCTATCAAGGCATGATAAGTGATACCAACCCCCCTTGTATTCACATATTGAGACCCACCGTTTATACAAAATTAGGTCCCCTTCACCCAAGAATGCTTTAGACTACATATGGACATAATCCTTTCATTCCTACAGAAGAAGTATTCAAATTCTATTCATCCACTTTGGCCCTGCCTCTCTGCCAAAAAGGGGGTTAAAACTCATCGTTTATACAAAATTGGTTCCGCTTCACCCAAGGGGGCTTCATCCCAAATTTAATCAAAATCCTGTCATTCCTACAGAAGAAGAAGGATTTTGAAGAATTTGCTACGTTTCCCCTATTGGGCCCAGCCCCTCAGACCCAGGGGGGCCAAACCCAACATTTATACAAAATTGATTTCACTTCCAAATATGATGCTACCGTTCAAATTTGGTCTAAATACCTTCATCCCAACGGAAGTAGAAGGAAATTAAAACTATTCCTCTACCTCCCTTATTGGGCCTGCATCTCTGCCCCAAGGGGAGACACATCCACCATTTATATAAAATTGAGTCCCCTTGGCCCAAGGATGCGCCAGACTCAATTAGGATAAATCCCTTAATACCTACGGTAGAAGAAGGATTTCAAAGGTTTTACCTCTATTTCCCCTATTGGGCCCCGCTCATTTGCCCCCAGGGAGGCCACACCCACTGTTTATACAAAATCGAGTCCTTTTGGCCTAAGGATGCTCCAGACCAAATGTAGTCAAAATATACTTTGCCGTTCAGGACTAGTAGTGTTTTAAAAGAAAAGTTGACAGACGGACGGACGACGGACGCTGCGGTATGACATAAGCTCACCATGGTCCTTCGGTCCAGGTAAGCTAAAAATAGTAAAAGTAACCTTGACCTTAAAGGCAGTAACCTGAAACGCAAACTTGTTCAAAGTATGGTCATAAATATGTTTTTCAAAAATAGTAACAGTGACCTTGACCTTCAACGTAGAAACCGAAATGCGAACTCGTCCAAGGCATTGTCATACCAAACAGTTGCATGAAGTTTTATGAGATTCCATTCACTAATGAAGTCGCTAGAGTGATGACAAAATTGTTTCTAAAAATGATAACAGTGACCTTGACCTTTAACGTGGAAACCCGAAACGTGAACTCGTTCAAGGCATTGTCATACCAAACAGTTGCATGAAGTTTTATGAGATTCCATTCAATAATGAAGTCGCTAGAGTGATGACAAAATTGTTTCTAAAAATGATAACAGTGACCTTGACCTTTAACGTGGAAACCCGAAACGTAAACTTGTTCAAGGCATTGCCATTCCAAACACCTGTAAGAAGTTTTAAGAAATCCCGATGAGAAATTGAGTCGGTAGAGCGATGACAATATTTTTCTAAAAATAGTACATGTAACAGTGACCTTGACCTTTAACGTAGAAAACCGAAATGCGAACTTATTCAGGGTATTGGCATACTAAACACTTGTATGAAGAGTCATGAAATGCCGTTGAGGAATGAAGTCGCTTGAGCGATGACAAAGTGAAACATACGCGTACATACGTACGTACGGGTGGAATCCTATATCCTTTCGAACTTTCGTTGCGAGCAGATAATAAAGCTTGGAAGTTCCTGGTTCTTACCTAATCAAGCTTGAATTTCCTAGCATTTACCTTGAGAAGTTTGAAGTACCTGGTTCTTACCTGAAAAAGCATGAGGTGCCTGGTTCTTACCTAATAAATCATGAGGTACCTGGTTCTTACCTTATAAAGCATGGGATACCTGGTTCTTACCTAATAAAGCATGATGTACCTGGTTCTTACCTAATTTCCCTAACACAAGTATTTTACCTGCAAATCGATGCTATTTTCATTGTCACGAAAAACAGCATATGTATACTCTGGGATTCGAACAATTACCTTGATATAGTATAACAAATGTGCGTTTCCATTTAATCTTCTACTGGCGGAGAGGAGGTAACAACTGCGCACCCCGATGTCTCTTGATTTGCTGTGCTGAGGGGTATGTCGTGCAATAGCGGAGAAGGCGATTATAAATGGGAATCGTAGGTCTGGGATAAGTGCGGATAACTATATCATTCTTTACTAGGCTGATATATTGATATCTGACATGTTTTGCTTCAATTGAAGATCCGCTCGTACATCTGTATAATATTAACTGATCACTGAATCCATTCAGGCGGATAATTACTCTCCGATAATCCTAATGACAAAACCTGTTTACAACCATGAACTGTTTTCTAGGCTGATAGTGATACTAATTGAGCCGGTTTTAGGAATCTGCCTTTAAAATACTTCCTTTTATCTCGAGATTGTCTCCGATATTGCCGTGCACGAAGTAACTAAGGACAGGTGATAGCAAGATTTCCCCGGAGCCTTAGCCAGATTAACACCGGTATCTAGGTAACAAACAGTAACCATGTCAATTTCAGCTTCAAGAAATTATAAGGTCCAAATTACACACGATCTTTCAGGTAAATAATGGATGGTAAACGGAAGTAATAAATCTGATGTGGCTTTCCGAGATATTATACCTTGTCATATTTCATTGATGATATCATTATAATTCGATATATCCTGTTAGGTACATACAGCTATACATTGATACTGAAGTTAGGCATATTGGCGCGATAAAATTTAGTGAATGGCATGTACATGCCTTCGACATTGTCATTTGAAGCGGCACTAATTGAAAGGTATAAAGATTTTTTCTGAACGTTAATAAATCCCATAATAAACCACTGGGCTTCCCTACCACTAGGTTTAATTAGCGGAAATGTATTACAAAACAACACGTCTATTACCAATGTAGACTGGCCACTGTCTCTAGAATATTGAAGTATTAAGATTTTTTTTTAACTCAAAACATTTTGATCACTTAGATGTCCGATTCCAAGTTCTAAACTAGGGGGAGATAAGCTAGTAGTAAAATGCAGCTAAGAAATTCTTCATAAAAACTTAGGGGCTGGTAGCCAGTCTATTACCGATGCTATGATTTAAAAATCGCAAGCTGGCATACAGACGGTGAAGAAAGACATCATTAATATCATTGCGTCATCTATCGTCGTGACAAGATGTAAAAAAAACCAAAAAAAAAACCCCACCACAACAATAAATACTTGAGTGTCAGCAAACCTAATTGCAAACTCAAATCGCGAAAAAGGTTTGAGCAAGGAAAGATTTACTTTGCAACCTTTAAAGAGGTACAAGGTGAATAAGACCAGGTGTTCGGGAAGAGAAACGTCTTCTTTCACGACGACACCTGTCATGTCAACCTGGTTCAAACAAAGAAATAGCACATCCTGATATTATGAAATTATGAGGTTAATCAAAAAGATCGAAACTTCATTTCACACAGAGAAACGCATCTAATTTCCCACTGAGATTGAGATGACGACCATAAAGTTGTCCGTAGTCTCCATCAACCTACATTTCTGGAAAATGTGTCTGTCAGCAATCGACATCCATCACGAAAACTGTGTCTGTCAGCAATCGACATCCATCACGAAAACTGTGTCTGTCAGCAATCGACATCCATCACATAACTATGACATTCTCAGCTAGGTTTTGAGTACCGAATCAACAGCGACATGTAAACACCGAACATTGATGAGATTGGTGTAGTTATAAGAAGAAAGGGAAAGTTCACGGACGTGAAATCCCAATAAAGTGGTATTTATCACTAACAATATCACAGTTAGGTTGTATATATATCATTGACGTCACAATAAGAAAGTACAAACAATCAATGACTGGAGTGAATAGTGACATTCCATTACAAAACAAACAAGTTAAAACATAAAACATGTTTATTCATCGACGATGAAAAATATGTATAACAATCTTTGGTATTAAAACAAGTTTCTGTGATAAAAGCTACACATCTAGCACCAACAATAAATCAACTTTACATCACAACGCTCGTAGATATGTCTGTTCGTTCCTCTTTCTCATGAATGTCTTATTGGCTATTATCTAATGAATAATTCATATGGGGTATTTCATGTTACTCTACTTGCTTGCAAATGCGTACAAATAATAATTTAACATATATAATCCATCTCCTTTTGAACGCTACCCCCTTTATTACATGTAGCATTGCCCCCTTCGTTCAATGCTGATGTAATACTTTAACTAATTGTATAGTTAATTTTAGAAGTTTTGGTATTCATAGGACGACGCGTCGTACATAGTAAAAGTGGAATTCCGCTGAACAATATTTAAATAATAATAAATACGTCATACCATGCGAAAGGTTGAACAGACGTTGAATAACGCTCATTAACCGAAGCTGGGTACGGCTGATAGGTATTACCTTCGACATTTTATTTCGGACCTCGGGTATAGGAAATGTGTGACTTATTATCAGCAGGCTCTCATTGAACAACAGTATAACGTTGTTTGTAGCAAAATATTTTGACAATAGTTTCTAGATAAGTAAAAGAATGATGACATTACATTCTAGCATATATTAGATATTGCTAGCTCTTATATTCTAAACA